TTAAAAAAGTTGTTGCTATGACTGTTTAAAAGCTTCCTAAACGAGAGCCACAATGGAACCTTGATGTAGCTATGTCAAGAAAATTTGTTTTATTTTTGCCATCTCCAAGGACACCTGATTTCTAATCGAATAGATAAAAGCTCTATTTATTTTATGGCAATATAAAGTGCTGTATGAATTCTGTTTTTAACTGATGCTCTTTACAGAGTTATTAATTTAATGGAAAACCAAATTAGGTTAAAAAAAATTTATATTTTCTTGTCTGCTTTTTTTTTGCACTTCAAATGAGAAGATCTTTTGAAGCCTTTTAGAAAATTACCATAATTTTGGTTGTAAAGTTTGCTGTTTTTCTTGGCTGAATTCATAAAGTTTGTTTGAAACAGATGACTTCCTGGCACAGTTAAATCTCTCCTGCATAGTTGAAAACTTTTCAATTGTGTTGAAGTCTTTGATGTTAGTCTCCTTTAAAGATTTCGAAACCTTTTTGGATGCACGTTTAAGATAATTGTGCCGCTAACACACATGTATGTTTTTAACATCTTCCTATTAAGTTGAGGAGAATTATGGAGGTGTTCTCCTTATTCCAACATCTTTGTGCCATTCACCCTGTTTTTGGAATAGCTCCTCGGCATGATGTTGCCACCATCATGCCGAGATGTATCATTTGAATGGAAAACAAGGATCTTTTTTCCTCAGTTGTGAAGTCATTCCCTTTTATTTTTCTTTGCATAATGTTTCTTATCTTAATTTTTCCCACATGAAGTCATTAATGTTAATTAATGAGTCATGAGGGAAAAAATTGAGCCAATACGTGGTTAAAAGAGCTAAAACTTATTTTCCAAACTCCACTAAATAAAGTGTTGTGTTCAAATGCCGACTCTAAGCTCGTAAACGGCATCTCCATCTGCGTTCCATCATCGCGTTCACCACGTGTCTGAGAGGAGGGAAAGAGGTGGGGAGGAAAAATGAGCAGCTCAGCGATTCGAGTGTTTACGGTTTGTACCAAGTGGGCAGATTTTTATCTGTGTGGAGCAGTCAGGACCTGAGTGGGGGGAATAACACTTTTGAATGCTCAGCCCAATGGGGCAACAATAGCTGCGGTGTCCAAACAATGTGTCCCTCGGCTCGTGTGGCGGACACAGGACACAGCTGCCAAGACTGCAGCCTTCCAGCTCTGGTTAGAAGTTATCTGTGGGCATTTCATTAGGACACATGCTTCTCTGATGAATGCATCAACAAACCGTGGAGAAGTTCAGTCATTTTACCCCCAAAAGGAGACCTAAGGTAAGGCCTCAGATCCCTGCCCGTTAGCCTGTTTCTACTCCGATCTTTAACTACTGAAACTTGCAAGAAAAACAGCTTTAATTAAACAATATTTTAACTTAATAACTTTTAAGTTTTTACTTTTAATTTCTTTTATGCATTTAGTGCTTTAAACTTTATTTCTACATTTTAATGTAGAAATTAGAGTTATCATATTAATGCCTGAAGAACACCTGTTGATGTAGATGCAGAAAAACAGTTTTTTAAGAGTTCAAAGCTCAATTAACATCTTCCTAGAAGTTTTATGCAATTACTAAAAAACATTAAATGAATTTACCAGGCTATGTTATAAAATAAGCTTCTAGAAACTTTTTTTGTTTATATTTCTATATAACCAAAAATGATAAACTCACCAAAGCTTTAGTAGATTAACCATCAGTTTAATTTAACTTGTATGCAAAGTATATGCAGGAGATGATTAATACAAATATTAGATTCAATTAATTATTTAATTAAACAAAATGGACAAAATTTCTATGGATTTTGCTTCTTGTTTCCATTTTGCCCAATTATCTGAGAATAGATTTGATAGATTACGACCCCCGATCAAATTAAAATTAGTCAGAGGTAAAATAAAACATAGATACCTGTGGCATCCGACTCTGTTGGAATACTTACTTAATCTAAAATCCATCTAGATTTTGCAGCAAGATGAGTTGGCTTTAGAGAACCAAAAAGATTTAATTTGTCAAAACCTACTTCACCATGTGACTCATTTTTAGTCCCACTCCTGTGTACTGCTCTATCGTGCTTTCCTGCACAACACGGTGTTGCAATATTTTATTTTCAGTACGACCAAATTACTGTCATTGAATATGAAGAACAGCAACACATTCCTCAATTTAAAAGCCTTTATCATCTCAACAGCAGTTGTAAATGTGTACTTTGATGCATCCTTATCCATTTTTCTTAAGGGCAGCAAAATGGTAAAATAAAGATCTTTATTTCCCTGTTTAGAAATGCATAGACCATCCTGAGCTCTAGGTTGACGTATTAACATTTCACATAAAAAGATCTTTGATTGATATTGTGCTGCAGGATTGTGACTTTTTCGGGTATCCTGAGGTACATAAATAGACAAAAGTGTTGATTTGGCAGCTTTATCTTTCTCTGTAGGATTCACACTTTACGCCATCGGTTAGGGAAAGAGGTCAATGCATTGGTGCTATAGGAAATGTAACCTCTGCCTTATGTGTTGTTTGTTTTTTATGTGAGGCACTATGCAGGAAATGGGATTTTAAAAGTGGTTATTCTTTTGTTTGCAGACCAAACGAAAACATAAAATAACCTCATCCTAGCTGTGTGTAAATCTGAAAGAGGTGACTCTGTTTATCTGTTTATTAGTGTATTTCTCTGTGGATTTTATTTAAAGGTATTGGAACCATTATATTTTTCAATTTTTTTTTTATTTTTAAAGTCATGGAAGAGACACCAAATGTTCCCCTCTGGAGATAAGAGGAATGCAAATACATTATTTCATCTAGTTAGCTGGACTTTATAATTCAATAATGTCTGAGCTACGATAAAGTTAAAGGCTGATGCCATGTTTGCATGATATTAATACCAGAAGTGGATCATCTCAGTGAATCTGATTTCTGAGCTTTGTCATAACTTACTTTTTTTAACTGGTGGTCCCCCATATATATAAATCTAAATATCTATCTATCTATATATATATATATATATATATATATATATATAGATATATTACATATACACTCACCGGCCACTTTATTAGGTACACCTGTCCATCTGCTCGTTAACACTTAATTTCTAAGCAGCCAATCACATGGCGGCAACTCAGTGCATTTAGGCATGTAGACATGGTCAAGACAATCTCCTGCAGTTCAAAGCGAGCATCAGTATGGGGAAGAAAGGTGATTTGAGTGACTTTCAACGTGGCATGATTGTTGGTGCCAGAAGGGCTGGTCTGAGTATTTCAGAAACTGCTGATCTACTGGGATTTTCACGCACAACCATCTCTAGGGTTAATAATAATAATAATCAATCCAATTTATACCGCACTTTTCATTAACAAAAATCTTAAAGTGTTTACAGAGAATGGTCCGAAAAAGAAAAAACATCCAGTGAGCGGCAGTTCTGTGGGCGGAAATGCCTTGTTGATGCCAGAGGTCAGAGGAGAATGGCCAGACTGGTTCGAGCTGATAGAAGGGCAACAGTGACTCAAATAACCACCCGTTACAACCAAGGTGGGCAGAAGAGCATCTCTGAACGCACAGTACGTCGAACTTTGAGGCAGATGGGCTACAGCAGCAGAAGACCACACCGGGTGCCACTCCTTTCAGCTAAGAACAGGAAACTGAGGCTACAATTTGCACAAGCTCATCGAAATTGGACAATAGAAGATTGGAAAAACGTTGCCTAGTCTGATGAGTCTTTATTTCTGCTGTGACATTCGGATGGTAGGGTCAGAAAGGCGTCTACAACATGAAAGCATGGATCCATCCTGCCTTGTATCAACGGTTCAGGCTGGTGGTGGTGGTGTCATGGTGTGGGGAATATTTTCTTGGCACTCTTTGGGCCCCTTGGTACCAATTGAGCATCGTTGCAACGCCACAGCCTACCTGAGTATTGTTGCTGACCATGTCCATCCCTTTATGACCACAATGTACCCAACTTCTGATGGCTACTTTCAGCAGGATAATGCGCCATTTCATAAAGCTGGAATCATCTCAGACTGGTTTCTTGAACATGACAATGAGTTCACTGTACTCAAATGGCCTCCACAGTCACCAGATCTCAATCCAATAGAGCATCTTTGGGATGTGGTGGAACGGGAGATTCACATCATGGATGTGCAGCCGACAAATCTGTGGCAACTGTGTGATGCCATCATGTCAATATGGACCAAACTCCCTGAGGAATGCTTCCAGCACCTTGTTGAATCTATGCCACCAAGAATTGAGGCAGTTCTGAAGGCAAAAGGGGGTCCAACCCGTTACTAGCATGGTGTACCTAATAAAGTTGCCGGTGAGTGTGTATGTATATATATATATATACAACCTGATTTTTGACTGACTGACTAGCAATGGCATAAAGTAACATAAGTAACTGATCCAAAGCATCTTCTTATGTTCGCTCTGATTTTTTTATTATATACATTTTTTATTTAGCTTCATATATTAGTTTCAAATGAAATTACTGAATGACAATAGTGTATGAGGATATCATACAGGGGGAAACAAATACAGAATATTAAAAGATTGCTATGAAAAATGAATAAAAACGACTCAATTTGTCCAGAACATAGTTGGTTTTAGCTGTTATTCGGTGTTCAGGTTCTCTTACTGTGATTTTGTTTTGTTTAAATTGTTTTTCTCTCAGAATAAATCGTGTCTATAGTTAAAGGGCACGTCATTGTTTTCTGAACAGCTGATTGGCTGCCGGATGGAGTGTTTTCTAGGATTCTGGTCAATCCTGAAAGCTAGCTTGTTTCGGAGCAGGTTTGCTCTTCAGAGTAGTTTACCATGGTGACTAGCCTCACTAAGAATGAATCCAGCTTTGTGGTACCGGAAATTTTGGGTTAAACCTGAAGTTTCGCTTACCCAGTAATCCTGCTTCATGATACAGGCCTCAACTTTAGTCACTTAAGTATATATTCATGTTTTTGTGAACAACATTAATTTCTGAATGTTTTTTTTTTTCTGTTTTTCCAGGACCGGAATCGGCCCTTTGATCCTTTTAACTTGAACTCTTTTGATCTTCCCATAATGGAAATGATAAAGACTGACCATGAGAAAGGTAAACCACACCCAGCTGGTGGCCCACCAATGACTATCGCTGATATTATATGGAGGAATCATTTTGCAGGTTAGGAATATCTACTCGTCCATTACTATCACTTTAAAATGATGTTTGTGCTTCTTTTTATTTGCTTTTTTTTTTTTTTTGCTTGCTGTATTTTGCTTTTTTCCATATTTGCCAAACGTCTAACCGGTCCTCTGTGGATCATCTTCTTGTGTTTGAAATTTAAATCACCTACAACAATGAACCTTACCTGCAAAAATGTTGGGATTTGTGTTTGCGTACTTTGCAGTAACAGCGTTGGGATGTGTGCTTCTTTTGCCCTATTTTTAAACCATGTTTTTCTCCTTCCTCATATAGTGTCCAAATATTCACTTTTTGCTCGTTCAGTCCAGTTACATCCTTATTCCAAATACTAATAAATTAATCTTTCTTCAATATTCATAGAGCCCCATTATGAAAGAAGTAATACACCATGGGGCATTTTGTAAAGAACTTTGAAGAAAGAAATGAATTAAGTACCGATTGGAATAAGACTCTAACCGAACTAAATGTGGAAAAAGTGCATCACTGTCAATACTTTCCAGATGCACTTTATATACAATCTGATTATGGTCAGGAAATTGTGTGTTTATCGTTATAAAAAATTAAATTTTACTCAAGAAGACTTCACTTCACTTTACTTTCACTTTATTTTTTAGCAAATAATTCAACATTAAACAACAAAACAACAATATCAAAACAAAACAAAACCAACAATTTACCAAAAAAAAGGAATAGGCGTTTTCTACCTACAACCTTTACGACCTACCAGGTTCTTTACTGCGTATATAAATATTCAAATCTACATAACATAGGATTTCACCATTTAACATTTTAAAGCCCTTTTAAAAGACAGACATTTTTAAACCATAAGATGAGATTGTAAAGAAGAATCAGGCAGCTCAGTGTATGACAGCGCTCCTGGGTCCTTGTTTGTCCAGTTCTGTTGTCCATTGTAAAACCAGGATGAGGCCTTGTCAGACCAGCTTCTTTGCGTGTGCGCAAACTGATCCTCCCATCTTAACAATGGAAAGGCTTAAGTGGGAGGGGTGTGTAATGAGCAGAGCACGTGTTTTTCCTGTCCGCAAACTGTGTTATTTTCAGCCCAGCATTGTTGGGACAGAGTGATCTTCGGGGCCGTGCTATCAGCTTCACGGGAACTGTGTCGTAACGTCCCGCAGGGCGTCCGTCGTGTTTGTCAAAGCACAACAAACACAAAGGGAGATATGAGGAAAGCCAGGCAGGGTGGCATATTACCATAAGGTGTGCATTCTGTGCATGCTTTGCTGTGTTGTCATAATGCAGAATGCAAGGTGCTCCAGAGAGCTGCTCCTCAGAGCTCCTCCACCCTGTTGGTAGAACGGCTCACTGTTTGAGTTTCTACAGCTTAGTGATCAGGTTAGATCAGAGCCGCTCACTTTATGCCTCATTGCGTCCCATGTTGGAGTCTAAATTACTAAAGTTAAACTGCAAACTGAAGCTCTTTGTCTTGGGAGAATTTATAGATCAGTATTTAAGAATTTTGTTATTTGCTGCAAAAAGTAGCTGAGTAGTTTTTATATACACTAGAAATAAGTAAAAATTTCTTAAATTAAGTGTATTTACCCTTAATTTGAGTCAGTAAATGATAGTTTGCCAATGGAATCAGTATATTTACTCTTAAAATAAGATAATTAGATGATATGCTCTTGAAATAAGACCATGCAATTGTGTTTTCTTATTTTAAGTCAATTGTCTTGTTCCATTGGCAAACTGTCTCTTTTATCTCCTCAATCCAAGAACAAATGCAATCATTTTAAGAAAAGATGACTTATCTAGATTTCAATTTTTTCCAGTGTATTAATCAGTTTTACCATAATGATTGAATTATGTTAATATTACTTAGGTTTGGATGACCTAAATGTGCGCCTGAATTACTTTTCTAATTTTGCGTCTCTCATCAAGATGTTTTCAGTCGACACTTAAGCGTCTGTTGATAAAAGTTGATTTATTTATATCGAGTTGCAGGACATCTGCAAGATTTTCTGACTGTGAGATTGCACTTTAAGATGAGAAGAAGCAGCAAGGCTGCTCCTATTTACGCTGAGAGAAAATGCCTCCCCTCACTGGAGCAGAGACGCAGGGGCGGATTTACCATTAGGCAAAACTAGGCAGTTGCCTAGGGCCCCAAGTTCCTGGGGGCCCCATAAAACTCCTTTTCCATACAGCTATTACTTATTTGTGCACATTAATTATGTTTTTAATAAAAATCCCTTAATTAAAACGCCATCAGAATGCGTGTCTCAAGCACAGGTGTATTCAGCGACTTTTCAGACCCCTCTAGCGCTTTTATTTCTAAAAAGCACCCAGCGCCAAATCTAGTGCCTTTTTTCTGCTACTGGAGACTTTGGCAACAGCATATACAGGTGCTGGTCATAAAATTAGAATATCATGAAAAAGTAGATTGATTTCAGTAATTCCATTTAAAAAGTGAAACTTGTATATTATATTCATACATTACATACAAACTCATATATTTCAGATGTTTATTTTGTTTAATTTTGATGATTACAAATGACAACAAATGAAAATCTCAAATTCATCATATCAGAAAATTAGAATATTACTGAAGACCAATAAAAACAAAGGATTTATAGAAATGTTGGCCAACTGAAAAGTATGAACATGAAAAGTATGAGCATGTACAGCACTCAGTATTTAGTTGGGCCTCCTTTGGCCTGTATTACTGCAGCAATGCGGCGTGGCATGGAGTCGATCAGTCTGTGGCACTGCTCAGGTGTTATGATAGCCCAGGTTGCTCTAATAGTGGCTTTTAGCTCTTCTGAATTGTTGGGTCTGGTGTATTGCATCTTCTTCTTCACAATACCCCATAGATTTTCTATGGGGTTAAGGTCAGGAGAGTTTGCTGGCCAATTAAGAACAGGGATACCATGGTCCTTCAACCAGGTACTGGTAGCTTTGGCACTGTGTGCAGGTGCCAAGTCCTGTTGGAAAATGAAATCTGCATCTCCAAAAAGTTGGTCAGCTGCAGGAAGCATGAAGTGCTCTAAAACTTCCTGGTATGTGGCTGCGTTGACCCTGGACCTCAGAAAACACAATGGACCAACACCAGCAGATGACATGGCACCCCAAACCATCACTGACTGTGGAAACTTTACACTGGACTTCAAGCAACGTGGATGAAGTGCCTCTCTTCTTTTCCTCCAGACTCTGGGACCTTGATTTCCAAAGGAAATGCAAAATTTACTTTCATCAGAGAACATGACTTTGGACCACTCACCAGCAGTCCAGTCCTGTTTCTCTTTAGCCCAGGCAAGACGCTTCTGACGCTGTCTGTGGTTCAAGAGTGGCTTGACACAAGGAATGCGACAGCAGAAACCCATGTCTTTCATACGTCTGTGTGTGGTGGTTCTTGAAGCACTCACTCCAGCTGCAGTCCACTCTTTGTGAATCTCCCCCACATTTTTGAATGGGTTTTGTTTCACAATCCTCTCCAGGGTGCGGTTATCTCTCTTGCTTGTACACTTTTTTCGACCACATCTTTTCCTTCCCTTCGCCTCTCTATTAATGTGCTTGGACACTGAGCTCTGTGAACAGCCAGCCTCTTTAGCGATGACCTTTTGTGTCTTGCCCTCCTTGTGCAAGGTGTCGATGGTCGTCTTTTGGACAACTGTCAAGTCAGCAGTCTTCCCCATGATTGTGTAGCCTATAGAACTAGACTGAAAGACCATTTAAAGGCTTTTGCAGGTGGTTTGAGTTAATTAGCTGATTAGAGTGTGGCACCAGGGGCCATCAATTTTGAACCTTTTCACAATATTCTAATTTTCTGATATGATGAATTTGAGATTTTCATTTGTTGTCATTTGTAATCATCAAAATTAAACAAAATAAACATCTGAAATATATGAGTTTGTATGTAATGTATGAATATAATATACAAGTTTCACTTTTTAAATGGAATTACTGAAATCAATCAACTTTTTCATGATATTCTAATTTTATGACCAGCACATGTACAAGCACAAACTCGTAGATTGGTAACCCCGCCTCCTGCTCTCCTCCATCTTGTCCGCTGTCATGATTCATGCAGCTATTATTTCATACAAATGAAAAATGGAGAACAGATTAGCAGATCATAGCTTGTCTACAGTGGAAAGAAGGACTGCACTGGAAAAAATCGAAATCTAAATAAGTCATTTTTTCATGAAATAAGTGCATTTGTTCTTGGATTGAGGAGGTAAAAGAGACATTTGGTCAATGGAACAAGACAACTTCCACTTAAAATAAGAAAACACAATTGCATTGTTTTATTTCAAGTGCATATTATGTAATTATCTTATTTTAAGAATAAAAATACTCATTCCATTGGCAAACTATCTTATTTACCTACTCAAATTAAGGGTAAATACACTTAATTTAAGAAATTTTAACTTATTTCTAGATCGTTTTTCCAGTGTGGGTTATTTGCTTTTTGGAAACACAGTAAGGAGCAATCAGTTAAGCGAGCTTAGTTTCATTCCTTTTGAAACGACATGAAAAGGCAGCTGAGTACAAAACAGAGGAAAACAAGAATAGGGACAAAACGTAGAACAAATAATGTATGTCTATTATATTAAAATTTCTGTATCTGTTGGTCTGTTTTATATTTTGTCTTCTTAATTCAGAGGGCCCCCTGCCTGTCTTTGCCTAGGGCCTCAAATTTCCTAAACCCGCCCCTGCAGAGACGTAACCTAAAGAGGAAAAAATAAGACAACTTGATGGTTTCATTTCAAAATAAAATAAAAAAAAATTCTTAAAACAAGAAATAGAGGCCAGATTTTTTATTTTTTTTTTAAATTGCCTTTAACCCCTTTGGATGAAATTACGGTAAATAGCAAAGCAAACCAGACACATATAAATAAAGAAATTATCCCTAAATCTGGATAGAACTGGTTTTGAGATGAGTAAACTCAGCCTCCCATTCAGCTTACCGATTTCCCCGAAACTTAAGCTTGATTGAGATACGGCGGCCATGTTTAAAAATA